ATTATTATTATTATTATTATTATTATTATTACTATTATTATTATTACTATTATTATTATTACTATTATTACTATTATTATTGTTATTATTATTGTTATTATTAGTGTCACTGTGGGTGATTTTCTCTCGCAGCATGCGAGTCCAAACCATGGCTGTAGAAAGGAGAGTTATTTTCTGGAGTTCATGTATGTTGATATTGCCAGGGATTTTGTTGATGTATTATTATTATTATTATTATTATTATTATTATTATTATTGTTGTTGTTGTTGTTGTTGTTGTTGAAACAAGAAATATAAGTTATAGAAACCGACGTTTCGGTGCATCTTACGCCATCATCAAGGTTACATAATTAAAGATAAAAAGCGGTTTGTGATGAGGCTAAGTTGAAGCGAATTTGCATAGGAGAGTGCCGAGCTAATTACAAGAATACTTTCGCACGAAGAGAATCAGACTGTACATTCAGTGCTGGTTTAAGATCTTGAATACAAAAGCATTTCATTAACAAGGTAGTCAATTTTGTTTGTGCGTTTCTTGATTACACTGAAGCGTGCTAAGAAATTGGTCGGAACAGCAGTGTTATGTTATTATGTTATTATTATTATTATTATTATTATTATTTTTATTATTATGATCATCATCATCATTATTATTATTATTACTATTATTATTATTATTATTTTTTTATATTTTTGTTTATTTCCACTTTGTATTAAAAAAGATATAGAGCTTTTGGTAGTAATATCTTAACCGTGAACATGGCAGGTGAAATAATTTCCCTCAAAGCAAATTAACGCTAAGCGTATAGTTAAACGACAACTCCAGTCTCATTTCGCGCTTCTTTGCTAAAGATGTGAGTAATTGCGTTTAGATTTGAACCTTTTGAAGTAAGAGCTTATTGTTTCAATAATAATAATAATAATAATAATAATAATAATAATAGTAATAGTAATAATAATAATAATAGTAATAATAATCGGTTCGGGATGAGCAAATACTGGCATTGGTGAGGAGAGGAGACCACTTAAGGGGAAGATCGATTAATTCTCTCAACATTGTTGAGGCGACTACATAGAAAAATTTCGCGTCATATCAATTTATTGACCCCCGTCCACATTTACAGTATGAAGAGAAGGTCTTGTTGTTATAAACGAAAGATAATCATTTCACTGTTCACTGAGATTAAGTCTGCTAAGTAAAAATTAGAGCAGTAAGAGAAAACAGGACGAGGAAAAGCAAACCGAAATATGAACTGAATAGACTTTTGATGACTGAAAACTAAGACATCTTTGGATTGCCCATGAAACGTTTGCAAGAAACGCATGAAGAAACTTCCAGACTTGTAAAGGAAAACTGAAGAATTAATGCAGGTATCGTTTTGCCGGAGAGGTGTCTTGCTGAGTTGTTTTCACTTTTATTAGCTCAAATAAGGATATCTATGCTTGCAATGGAGGGAAATTTGCCAAAAAAACGTTAAGTTATTTTTAATCAACACTTTCGAGGAATTACAAACACTTTTTTTGGTCGCTCTCGTACTTCCAGCGATTGAATCTAAACATAATTTGTCACAAGAATCGCAAGATGAGGCAGAATTTTACCTGCCCTCTTCCAGAAAAAGATGTGCATAGCGATAGCCGTTAGATAAATGTTGAATACAAAGCGGAAAACGTTTCCAAATGAGAAAATATTAACATTGGTAAGCGAGAAGAGAAGGGGAAGATCAGTTAAAGCTCTCGAAGACTTTTCAGTCGACTACAAAGTGAGGGTATTTCTCGTTTTTTTAATGCATCATTGAACTGATGTTCAAAATAAAAATTATCAAAATCAAGCAGGAAGAGCAAGAGCAAATGAGGTATTTCCAGTTCTTCTTTTAAAAGCAGAAGTCGTTTCAAATATCATCCGTTTAACAGCAAGTGAATCCCCATAGAAGCAAATTAAATAACAAAGAAGAGTTAAATAAAGATGATGTCTCAACAGTGGAGGTAGAAGTGCAACATGTTAAGATCAATTTGTTAACATATTTTTCAGCTTCCAACATAGAGGACTTCGCGTATCACTCCTGTTTAAATTTTGCGGTGGAAATAAGCTTAGCAATAATATGCATATTTTTACAATTCTTTTTCAGTGGAACTCCGCCCTTCGATTCTTGCCAAACACCCGCCTAATATAAACAGTTTTGTTTGTCCCGAAAAATAATAACAGTAAGTTTTCTTAAGGGTCATATATTATCTTAAGTAACTGTTACAAAGAAAGCTTTCTTGGCTTCTAGAATGATTTGTAAAATGTGAATACACACAACCGCTTTCTCCGATAACACGAGACAAAAGTTTCAATTGGGCCCTGAAGCCGACCAGTTATATATAAGAAATGCAACACAAAACTAAATTTGCGCTTGTAGGTTATCAAATTTAGAATTTCGTTTGCCAAGAGCAATTTTTGCGTTTTGCCAGTCTTGCGAAAAGCTGGTTTGATTTCGGAAACGTGAATTCCTCGCGCTTCCTCTTGAACGATAGCTATGAATGGCTAAATCTTGTTAATCAACAGCAAATTAGACCACATTAAAAACAAAAACATTGTCGGACGAGTGACGATAGATTGTAATCAATGCAAAAAAGAAAAAAGCAAAAAACAAACAAACAAACAAACAACAACAACAAAAAAAACAAATACGTACTTGAAGAAATAGTTTTTTGTCGTCTCTTTAAACCCAAAGAACAATTTACTTTTACCACTATTTTTTTGAGGACACCGACAATGTATATCTTTTTTAATTCAGAAGTGGTGGCGTAATTATCACCCTTAGCGCGGTTGCAAGTAGTGTTTGTGAAACAGTGTTGTAATTGAGTGAGTTTAGGCACAAGAAGACGAAATTCCCTTCTTGCAACGTAACGTCGCTGATACTTTTATCTGCTAGCAGAAATAAAATGGGAAACTAACGGAAGTAAACCCTGACACCTGGCTGTTTAAGTTTCTGCCTCGAAAATAAAGGTAGAAAAAGACAACGAATTTTCTACAAGATCTTTGCTATCGAGGTTTTAGAATCTCCATCGGCTCACTAACCTTAATTAAGAGTCTCTTTGTTACTTTGGTCAAGTTCCTCCGTGCCTAAGTGATCACGTTAAAAACATGAATTTTTAAATTGAACATGTGAGTACAATTTCTCGGCTTTCCGTCATGAATAATGAGGTCACGATGACAGCATGGCTGGGAGCTTCGATTTTTCAGAGAACTAAATTTCGATAGTATTGTTCAAGTCAATAGTCTATGACATGAAAAATAATTTCTGCTTATTTGAAAAGCCTTTCAAAATACAGAAGAATGTCGTTTTTCTTTTTGAAATATCTTCTTTCGTTTTAGAGATATTGACGTTTTTCTATTATGCAAATTAGATTAGTGAACACGTCATATTGTTTACAACTAAAAATGGTAAAATACTGAACAAACAATATCTCTAGAAATATTGAAGCAGTGTTCATCAAACTTGACACCACAAATGTACATCACAAAAGAAACAAAATGACACTCTTAGTGCTGTTGCCATAGCAACTCTTTCGGCTTCAGTCTGTTTCTGTCAAAAAACCAAATATCCCTATTTGCAACCTCTAAAGTGAGACAAAGGGCCCTACTTCGAACAGACGTAGTTCCCATATTGTCCTAACTCCCATCATTAGGTTGGGTGGGGTAGATGGTTCTTGGCTTAACACAAAAACTGGGAATTTCAGTTTTTATTAAGACAGCACCAGCGGCAAAACTGTTGTCATGGCAACAGTACTAAGAGTGCCATTTTGTTTCTTTTGTGATGTACATTTGTAGTGCCAAGTTTCAAGAACACTGTTTCAATATTTCTAGAGATATTGTTTATTCAGTATTTTACTATTTTTAGTTGCAAACAATATGACGTCATCACTGATCTAATTTGCATAATAGAAAAATAGGTGCTCGATGAGCACATGATTCCACGGCCGTAGGTAAGTGGATTAGGAATCTTTGCAGGATCTGGGTTTAATTTAATGTCTCCAGATAACAAAAACTTCTTTTCTGACAAGAAGTATTTCTTATTATCAAACTGAACTCGGACAAAAATTCTGGATAACATTTTTAATTCGTACCAGAAGACCAACACTTTACTTGTTCAAATTTTGTTTGAAAAAAAATCGAGTAAAAAAAGACTCTTCTTCATG